GAGAACAATACAGATACATATATGACAGGAAGAGAAAATACCCATAGCAGAAGAATAGAGAACGAATATATATATGACTATTATACAATTGTCTCTTATGGCACGTCTTTAATATGTGCCATAACAATAATCTAGTTATACTTCTCTTATAGCTAGCTCATTCTTTTCTAAATTAACAAATTACACTTAGCGTATATCTACTGTATATAATATTTTGTAATTTGTATATTTTACATGATCTGTATAACACTTTTAACTATTTGGGTATAAATAATTCTCATAGGAAAATAGCCATTATTTTTTATTCTCTTCGATCATACAACTCTTAATTCTGATTCTTTTTTCGTATATGAGCACACAACATGTTTTCTCTTTAACGAACAAAGTAAGGAAAAGACTGAATTATCGAATGCTCTAAATTCATTCTTTATTCTGCTCACTGCGCTAATTAAAACTGGAATAACTAGAGAGGACCCTTTTCCATTTCTTACACTAACTTCAAGTACACAAATAATTGTAAAAAATTGTAATATATTTGCGATATTTCACAAAAAAAGGATTTGTATCTAAAAGTGAAGAGGAAAAAAAAGAATTTCACTGATGATCGCACGCTGGGAACAGGTGTCATAATTGCAAAGAGGTATTCACCTGCATCCACCTCCATAGATAGCTCAAAATTAGTTCAAAATGTTCGTCATCACCTATTGCATCTAATGTGTATGCACATAAATGCACAAATTTATCAAAGTTGGGTTATAGGTTTTTCGGAAAACCCTGGGTTTTGAGGTATTTTCCATTTTTCTCAGTCGAGAAACACTTTTATTGAGAATTAATGTGATATTTGGGATCAACATAAAAACTGCACCGAATGATGTATAATGTATTAATTTTACAACTAAAATATTTTTTGACAAGAATTCAGAGCAAGGGTCCCCCTAAGGAGTTTTCTATCGAAAATAGAGTTTTTTTCGATTTCGAGTTTTATTAGTATCTGACGCACAACGAGACCATACTACGCGAAAATAATCATTTTTTAACTCCAAAAAAACAGATGGAAAAGGCTCGTTTGTCTCTTATCTCCTTTCGAACACCATTTTATCGATGCAAAACTGTACCTTCAACTTCAGCATAAGTATTTATGTCCCCATTTTTGTATGAGATAAAATGGTGTTCGAAAGGAGATAAGAAACAAACGAGCCTTTTCCAAGCCATTTTTACACAAAAAATACTTAACTTTTGCTGATAACTACCATTTCTTCTCGTAATTTCGTAACAAAAGACTTTCCCCAAGTGAATACCGTGATCAACTTCTGACTGTGTGTCGATGCAGAAGACGAAGAAAAAGAAATGTTGTTAACTTAACTGTATGTAATGGAAGTTCTATGATTCAGTAAAGGTGCGGTGTATTTCTCTTGTATCTACCCCATTCACTATGACAAGGACTTGCTAATGGAGTCGGTAGTTAAAATTAATCAAACTTTGTTCTATCTTTGCAGTCTACAAAGTGTAACATCACTACAAACGATGAAGAAAATGAAAGAGAAAGAAAAAAGAACTTTCATAAAAAACAAAAAAACAGATTTTCATGCGTCTGTTTTACGCAATAAGGGTGATTTTATTCTTGGTTCGTATGATAACGAAGCAGCGTCACCTGAGATAATCAGTGTATTACAATCGCTGGCTGATGATGCTCATTATTTTGAAGATTCTCTGCAATGTTTCCGCTACATTGACTTCCTTAATGCTAAAAATCACGTTTTTCTTATAATTTGCTCGTCATTTGTGCTGATGGATGATATTCACAAACTACGTCAAGTTGACACTATCTTCCTATAGACATGGAAGATAAAAAAAGACTTAATAAAAACAATGATTTCTATCTGTTTATAAATGAACTAATACAAATACTAATAATTATAACATGAAAGCAAAATCGTGTGGATGTGTGTTAGCTTTCGATCACGAAACAGGCCTATATATATACCATCGCATGGATGTACAATCACGCGCACAAAAACTAATATGAACTGTTCTGTAGTATCGCGAGGACCAATAAGAAATCTGTTACGTTCATTTAATCGAGTACTTGAGTGTAGCTTTTCTTTGCAGCTGCTCTACGTCTGGTTTCAATAACATTATCAGTTTTTTCAATCACACGTCATTTACGTTTTGTTTTAACTGTATTTGATATAGCATCAATACCATCGTTGACATTTGTTGGACTAACTGCAGACGTTGTGACTGTTTTGATACTAACAGTTTCATCCATTTGTTCTTCTGTTTGTTGTTGTGTCGTACTGTTTGGCGAATTGATGCTTGATGAGGCTGCTGTTGATACATGCATAGGTGCTAATGAAGGAATTACATTTGATGGGTCATTGTCAGTTTTTGGAACAAATATCAGCTGTGGCGTGCTTAATGCAATCTCTGGAGATGACGATTGATTCATCCATGTAGAGACTGATGCTGGTAATTGAAGAGGTGGCGACATACATGATGCTGGACTAATAGGTGAAAATGTCAATCCAATATTATTTGTTAGTATTGTTGCAATTGGTGGTAGCGGTGCTGCAGCTGAGTCTGATGACAGTAGTAAAACGATTTCATTTAATGATGATGACTATTAAACACAAATCAAAAAAAATCCCACCTTAATTCATATCAATAGTAAAACTGCTATGTATATTTTCTCTTTTTCGAAAGGAGTTGACAGGTATTAAGGACTTGGCAAGGACGGACTTCCTGAGAAAGCACTTTCTTGGCAATACACCGCGCTGTTTAATTTACACTTACATTATCCAATGTAACATCATGATTTTGTTCTGGTGTTGTATTAGCATTTTCTTTATCAGCTTCCATGTCCATTCCTAGTTCACTTATTGAAATTGCTTCATTTTCAGATTCATCATCATCATCATTATATGCAGACGTCGACACCATTCCCGTTTTTGAATTAAATATACCAACGCTTTAAAAAAAAAGAATTTCAATAAGTATAACTACCGTAGATTTATACAGCAATAAAGTATGCAAAAGAAAGTCACAAGCTTACCGTGGTCCATCAAAAATTCCTTCATTAGACTGTTCATTTTTTTTAATTGTTGTTGCTGATAGCAACAATTCATGAATTGAATGAAGACGTTCTTCTACCAGTTCATAATCACAATGACTGAGAAGACTATAACACTCTTTCCATCCAAGAAAACGACCCAGCTTTTCAGCTTTATCCACTAAACAATGTATGACAAGAGTGTCCTCCTATTGTGATGACAACATTTTCAAATGAAGTCCTATTAAAACACAAACGACAAAAACAAGAAAATACCGATTAGTGAATCAATTTCTTACTAAGCATATGAAGAAAGCTGCATATCAACAAAAAGGCTATGTGCAGTACTTTCTTGGCAACTACTTACCCAACAACTAATCGCTCCTGAAATACTTCTACTGACTTTTTCTTTCTAAGTGTTCCTAACCTCAAGCAATCTAGGCCAACATCCTAACTACATATCTGTCAAACCGTGCTTTTATACAAAATCAAAGAGGATATACATTTTCACACTTGTTTTAAATACCTTTTTATATTCTTATTCATCTCACGATAAACTATCCTCAAAAAACTGACTTTATTTTACCAAATGTTGATGATTGATGATAGTTTTCGAATCGAATTGCTGTGTTGATTGCAATTCTGCTATTGAACTTGACGTTGTCTAAAAATTAATTTAAAGAGCTGTCAGTAGAAAATGGATAAACGACCTTATTCTTATTGTCCTATAAAAAAGCAAAAGAAAATCATTCTACATCTATCAATTTATCCTTATAGAAAAGAAAGTATTTGACTTTGTTTTGGAAGTTGTCGAAAAACAGGAAAGTAGATATCGAGAAAGTCTAAAATTATTATTATATAAGAGAGAGGTTGGGGAGTGCTTTGCTACCGATCTCGTTGTTCTAGATTTTATAATTGATCTTTCATAATAATTAGAACAACTCACAGAATGGACATTCAATCTCGTCGAAGTGAATTAGAAAAGGAATTGAAGCCCACATTAACAAATAAATTGAAAGCTTTGAATATACGTGTGCCTAATTCATTTAAGAAAAACGAAATGGTCGAATTATTGTTGTTAAATGAAATTAGAGGAGAAACGAGCTCATTAACTGAAGATATGGTCAAATCAGCTCAAACTCCAGCTTCAGATCTAGCCGTGGGTGATGACTCATATTGTTTACAAGTTGTTGATAACAATGAAAATAGCAACCGTTTATTGAGTGAGAAAATCAATTTGATGAATCGGATCTTGACTCAAAATGATCAAATCCTTGCTCAGAACGCAATTTTGTTATCGTTTCTTACATCGT